ACATAGACATCTGATGATCATCTTAAAAATTATGTTTATGTAGATACCGAGCCTACTCGAGTTCGGGAACAATCTACAAGTAGGATCGATCGAGGAAAAAACAAAGAAGTATAGGTGAGTGCATATGCATAGCATGAATATAGTATTATATTCAGTTCTAGACTTGTGATAAGTCTAGATTCCATATTTTGACATATGATCACATTCCATATTATGATACATGACATGAATTTATATTAAATGTATTACATGACATGAATTCATATGATATGTATTGCATGGCATGAATATGCAGAAAAGTTATATGAGCTATGTGATAAAGGTATGTAAATGATATGACTATGTGATAAAGGTATGGAAATAATATGACTACGTGATATGAACTACGGGAAATGTATAAGCCCATGTTATGTAGATGAGAACTATAGGTATAGTTGGCATGCCAAGGGTAGAGGGTATACTCGGTTCTTTAGGACATATGTATATCCTTTGGAACCTGTGTGAAGTCTTGAAAGACACATACTTGATCCATAGTATATGTATATGATTCTTAAGGAATTCTATGTGGTCCTTATGGACATCATTATATGGCACTACGGTGCAATTCTACGGGCACTTCGGTGCAATTCTACGGGGCACTTCGGTGCATTTATACGAGCTGTGGTGACAGCATAGTGCACAACCTCACATTACTCAGATACCTTAGGTTCTCAATATGCTATCATGGGCCATTAAACTTATTAATACAGATTCATGAATGTTACAGTCATACGCTTACAGGTATGGATATGAATGATGTATACTACATGGATTAAGTACATGTTTGCATCTCATCTCATATGATCATGATATCTTCATTACATGTGCTTTATTATTATTGCCTCACTAAGTCGATGACTTAGCGTGTGAGTGTTTTCACACGTAGGATTCGAGGAATTAGACGAGACAGGTGAAGCAGCTTGACAGTATTACTCCTGCAATCATCAGATCAGAAGCAACTTAATCAGTAGGTCATTTTGTGATGTAAATAGCAGTTGGCATGTAATTAAAGGGTTAAGTTGTGTATGCTCTGAATATTTTGGTAAACTTATATTACAGTATGTATATTATTGTATTTTCTTAATACAAGTTCAAATATTTTACTATTATTTATTAAGAGTTGTGTTTTAAAGTCAATGTAGTATCTCTGACTCATATCCGGGTCGGGTATGGGTTGGGGGTGTTACAGATGTTCCATTGATTTTGTCCACCTAAAATTTTTTTTATGTTCTCATTGCTACATTAATAATCATATAAAAAGAAAGAAGTTAGACGAGTAACAAAAAATTAAAAAACTTAATGCAATAATAATTATTATATCTGGAAAAATATTCAATTTATAACAAACTAAAAAATACAAAACTAAATTCTATAACAATTTGCAATATCAAACATAATTGGAAAAACTTAAATACTATAATAATTTCTTTAATCATAATAATCTCAATATCCAACAAACTTGCAACATTATAAATTTCATTGTCCAACAATCTTAAAACATAACATTTATAATACCAACAACCTAAAAATAAAATGTCAACATCCAACAAATTAAATTTCAATGTCCAACGAATTTAAAACATTAGTAATTTCAATATCCAACAAACTAAAAACAACAATATCCATCATGCGAAACATAGAAATACTCAACAAAAAATTCAACAAAATTAAATATTTCTATTTATATAATCACTCCACATAGCTTATGCAATTTCATCTCTTTTAGTATCCCATTCTCTAGCTTCTTCTCTCTCTTCTCTTTGTGTAAGAATTAATGTTATCGAATAAGTCTCATGTTCTTCATACAATCCTTCATTAATTATATCATTAGGATCAACCCCCATTATATGATTATCAATGATAGTACAAGCCAACACTACATCTATTTTTGTTTGAAAATCCCAAAATGGTTCAACATTTAACACACGAAAACGTTTCTTTAAAATTCTAAAGACTCGCTCAACAATGGTTCGCAATGATAAATGACGAAAATTAAAGAGTTCCTTTGCATTTTCTGGACGATGATTGTTGAACTCTTTTAAATGATATCAAACACCACGATATAGAGAGATAATTCCATTTCGGATGCCATATACAGCATCAGCAAGATAACATTTACCTACAATTTAACAAAATGTTATTATTACTTAATATATTATGAATTTAATTTTATTATTTTTATTATTAAAGCTAAGTATTACCTTCTGGAATACTAAATCCTCTTGGGCGTGTAAGTGCATCAGTTAAAATACGAGAATCATGTGCACTGCCTTCCTAACTAGCTAGAACATAAGCAAATTTCAAATAAAAAGTAATGGCATCCAATACATTATCTGTCGTTCCCCTTTTACGACTACAAAATCTTGCTTGAATGTTAGGTGGAACAGATGCACGAATATGAGTTCCATCTAATGCTCCCACACAATCTTTAAATATGGGTAAACCTTGAATTGTTATATTTCAAGAGGAGTTGACTCATCGGATAACCTAATAGGTAATTTATATAATTTCAAAATAGCCCTCAACACAATCCTAAAGTAACAGTGAATTGTCTCAATTGATCTATAATATCTTGATCCAATCACTTGAAATCTTACATTATGACCAATTATATGTAAAAATATGTTAACTTGCTCCTTAACATTTACCGATCTTGTTGACTGTAACAAATTGTTCCTAGTAAGGATGTCACACAAATTAAAAAAGGCAATTGGTCGCATTCGTATTATGTCGATACAATTCTGATCACCTTTATATAAGATATTATTGATGTAATTTTCTTTTTCATCATCTCGATTCACATGACATTCACGAGTTATTTGCTTTCTAGATTTTATTCTTTAAATCCAAAGAGCCCCAAAAGCCAATGCTAAAGCAACAAATCCCAATATTGTTTTATGAATAGAATTATGTTTCATCTACAAAGAAATGAAATAATAATTTATGAATACTTGAACTTTACAATAATAATAATTGTTAAATTAAATGGACAATCTACATTCATATTATTGCGTTCCATTGATTTGTTAATGTTTTTAGTATATTTTTTATTTTATCTCATAATCACAATGCATAGGCAACACCAAGATTTCTCAAATGTGTCACAATATTCGAGCAGAAAACTAAACCAAAGAAATCAAAGAAGCGTATAAATAACCTTAGTAGCTAAATTCCATCTTTTCAGCTTTAAAGAAAACTTTTGATATAAATAACCTATGCAAAGCTAGCATTGAATAGAAAACTACATAGGCATGCTTTACTCCTATAATATAAAATGTCATCATAACACCAAACTATTAGCCCTTCATGATTTAGTGCTAATCATAACACCAAACTATTAACTCTTCTTATCATTACTTGATAAAGGCAATTAGAGTAAGGTTTCATTTCAATTTCCCTATTTAGTAGAACTTGTCTAGAGGCAGCATGATGCTTTGATATTTTTCTCCTTGTTGCTACGTTCTTAGGATTTGTTAGCTACCTAAAGTGCCAAAGTCAATATACTTTCTAAAGGGTTCATCTCTAATCATATTTTCTTGAATTATATTGTTGGCACCTGTGTTAAAATCCTAGATTTTATGCTGTTGTTGGCATATTTTTGGTAAATAGTTCCTTATTCACCAGGCCATGGCTCTATTATTAATTAAGGTAGATATTAAACTATTGTTAATCTCATAGGTGGTTTTGGTTATTTGGGTTTCAATGCCTAGAGCCATCACTGTAACAAGCCCTAAATTTTATGTTGTTGTTGGTTTTTGGTAAACAATTCATTCTTCACCAAGGCAAGGCTCTATTGTTAATTAAGGTATATCGCAAACATTTCTGATGACTACAATGTTTTTTTTGTTCTTATATTGCTACTTTTGTATTGGTTATTTAGGTACGCAATTCGGATAAATTGAAGGAAATCATGAAGAAAATTCTCTATTTAGGAAACATATTGAACCAAGGAACTGCACGGGGTAAGTGACATTCAATTTTCCTTTTGGCTTCAGTCTTTGATGCTAGAACTGCAGCTTATAAACTATTATTCAGAGAAGATATTTAATAGCTAAACCACATGTACTGTGATGTTTGTCTAGACCCATGCATTTTAATGGAACTTGTTATGGTGTTTACCTGCATTGTCGCATGTGAGATTATGTCACAACATCTTGAGCATCATTCTTGTTCCTTAAACACAAAATATTTGGTGTTTTCCCAAGGCATGGATATGGTGTTGAAACTAACTTATCATATCTTATTGAAGATACCTTTGCTGTTTCTTATTCCAAATGATAGTTGTGTCTCTATTTATGCTAGATAAAATATAAATTAGGATCCAATCCCTTATCCCACAAATCAGTTTGTGTCTACAAATATGTTTATCCTTATTAATCTGAAACAATTATAACCACTACAGCAAAATAGAGTTTTAGTGACATTTTTTAGTCCTATAACGGCGTTTTTAAGCGCGGCTAAAAGCATTTACGACGATAGGAAAAACGTCGCAAGAAGCGTCGACTATACCAGCGCCGCTAAAGTTAGCGGCGTTTGAGAACAAAAAAACGTCACAATAGGTCAAGATCTATTGCGACATTTTTGGAGCAAACGCAGCAAAAGGTTGATATCTAAAACGACATTTTTGGAAAAAAACTCTACAAAAAGTCAGATCTATAGCGGCGTTTTCGGAATAAACGCCACAAAATGTCAGATATATAACGACGTTTTTTGGATACAAACGCCGCAAAAGGTTAGATCTATAACGACGTTTTTAGATACAAACGCCGCAAAAAGGCTAATGATAGGAAAAAAGAACCATTAATATCGAATACTAGATTTCAAAACATTTCTGATTCTAACACTGCATTCAAAATAAGTTTTCAAATCAAAAAATCAGAAATGATAAGTAATTCATGTCAAGCTTTTATAGGCTTCAATAATAAATTATAAGGAAAATTAGGAAATATTTACAGTGGAGTATTCTATGGAAAATATTAGATTATCAATATAATAAGAATAAAAGAGAAAAGCAGAAACTATTCACCAATTTCCCCACTTCTGCTGTAGATGGGTATAGTTGCAAAGGAATGCCAAGTCTTGTATTGTTGATAGTGCATTCTCTTCTTGCAATCTAAATGAATTAAAGCCGATATCATAGCACACATGATATTAAATTGAACGTTTTGGACACCATCTTGCTCCATATTCTCTTAACCTGCTGTAGGCACTTCGTTGCTTTTCCGGTCAAGCTTTTTCGGTATTTACCCCGTTTGCCACTCCGTTGCTTACATGATCAGACTTGTTTAAAAACAATTCCAATTGCCCACATGATGCCATGATGAGTCCTGGACATTTACGAAAATACATATAGTGAGCTTGACAGGCAAAGTTCAATGGATGATTTAATAATAAGATATAAAACAAGCATAAGCATATTTGGAACGTCATAGAGAGTGACAATATTTTCGGCCTGGAAAGAAGTCATATTTCTTAATAACAGTAGTTACTGATTTAGGAGATGAAAGAGAAGCAGACAAATAGAATTCATGTTTCATTACCGGAACATGGCAAAACTGAGAGAGCTTTAACTTGACATTATCATCAAGTGCCTATTGTAAAAAAAGGGCAAGTGAACGAATAAGAAATGTCAAATTAGCACTGGTAAATACAGTTGAAAAAGAGAAATCAGGGTAGAACCATTGTACTGCGACAAGCAAGAATATTTGGTGTCAAGCCAAGTTCTCTAAGTCCCCGAACACTATGCTAACAAGCATGTTTCCTCATTGCTTGATTCTTCTGAATTCCTTAAAACGAAGAATTATACCATTACTTCAAACCTATAAGGACTGTACATATACAGAAAACAGACCGATAACAAAGAAAATATTATATATGAGTTTGAGCTCCGTAGCTCCTAGAAAAGTATCAAATTATTAGAGTGAAGCTTTCAAAGAAAAACATGGACCAGAAAACTTTCGAGAGTTTGGTTATATTTTATTCTTTCATGGCCAATGAAAGCTTGACCTCAATACTATATAATACAAACAAAAAGAAAAAATAAAAAGAATAATATATTCAAAGACTTACCTGTATTTGTTACTAGCATGTTTACTGGCCACGGGTTTAAAGTTTGAATTGATCATCTTACTAGAACCTTCACCATGAAGTTGTTTTGCTATAAACAAAAGAAAATTCTCTTTTAAGTATTTGCACCAAAAGCTACTCATTGCTTATACTGAATTTCTTCTCCAATTGAAGTAATTGGAAGGCTAGTAACAATCAAGGACCATGAACTCTTACATTGGTAATTTGAAATAAAAAATTTAAAAATAGAATAGGAGATTTATATTCTACTCCAAATGAAGGTACATATACCCTAGTAAGGACTGTTAAAACCAACCAGAAAAACATGATATAAGCATACCAGAGCTTGTCCCTGCAGAAGAAAAGCAGCTTCATTGTGAAATATTTTAGTAAGATGATAAATTCAAAATTTAAACCTTTGTCCAATAAACATTCTAGTAAAAATGCAGATAAGTCCTGAAAAACATGATATAAGCATATAAGAGCTTGTCTCTACAGAAGAAAAACAACTTCATGGTGAAATATTTAAGTAAGGTGATAAATTCAAAATTTAAACCTTTATCCAATAAACATTCTAGTAAAAATGCAGATAAGTTCTCAAAGAAACATGACTATTATAATACACTCACAATTTACTTATTAGATGCAATGTAGGACAAGATGTCATGAAATGCACATATTCCCTTAGAGGTCTTAATACCTTATAACTAAACATGAAAATCTTACTTAAGAAAACAAGTGTAGTAAACCGAGTCAGCGTATTAAATCTGAGTAAACTCATGTAGTATGTCTCTATGTCTTGCAAGTTTCTGGGTTACCGAAGTAGTCGATGTAAAATATGCATCACATCTACCCATACCATCAGTCTAGCAGTTTCTCAAGCAATGATTGAATTTCAATTTCCATAGACTTCCATGAACTGCTTGACCCGGCTGGTGGCGACCCAGTATCTACATAATCTAAAGGTAAGTAAATATTATCACAAAGAAGAAGAAAAAACAAAAGAGCACCAGACTCCTAAGGCTTTGGATTCCTAAAACAGAAAAAAATCTCATTAAACAAATCTTATTTATTCAGCTTTTAGAATATGTTCAGTTCTTCAACAGATTTGTTCCTAATTTCAATAATCTACCGGGAAAAAAAGCAACACATATTCCAAAAAATAACAATAAAAAGGAGGAAAATGAGCAACCCTCCTGGGTTGAACCTAGCATCTTCGATCTTTCGAGCTTCTTTCCTCAATTCCTCCCAACCCGATTCTTGTAGATTCAGGTTCAGATCCATTATTTGGATCTCGGTAGTTCAACTTCGGATTCCTCGCTCTTCAATTCCAGCGATGAGTTCTTCTAAAAATGTGGATAAGGGAATCAAAATCAGAGATAGCGTACAAATGGCAGTGAAGTAGACGGGTTTAGGGTTTAGTAGTGAAGCAGATGGGTTTGGGTAAACGGTGGGATTGAAAAATACGTGAAGGGGAAAAATGAAAAAGGGTTAAAGGGCACAGGACTTAAAAATTGTAAACTTACGGCGGCGTTTGTAAAAACAAACACCACTAAAGTACGAGTCTATAGCGGCGTAAGTATATAAACGATACTAAAGTACAAGCGTATAGCGGCGTTTGTATAAAAACGCCACTAAAGTACAAGTGTATAGCAGCGTTTGTATATAAACGCCACTAAAGTACAAGTGTATAGCTGCATTTGTATAAAAACGCCACTAAAGTACAAGTCTATAACTGCATTTGTATAAAAACACCACTAAAGTACAAGTCTTTAGCAACGTTTGTATAAAAACGCCACTAAAATACTACTCTGTTGCGGCGTTTGTTTAAAAGACACCACTATGGATGAACCTATTGCGCCGGTTTTATAAAAACGCTGCTAAAGTTTCCATTTTGTGGCGTTTGTTATGTAAACGCTGCTATATGTTTAAAATTAGTAACTTTTACTCCCAAAACGCCGCTAAAAACACCGTTATAGAACAATTTTACTGTAATGAACTAAATATTAGGATATTTACGGCTAAAGAACTCATGAGATTCTCCACCACTCCCCATCAAGCTGGTGAAAGATGTTCTCCATTCCTAGCTTGCTGATATTCTCTTGGAATGAAGCATTAGTTAACCCCTTAGTATGTCTTCCATCTGCCTATGTGTAGGGACATAGGCTATGCGAATTAATTCACTTTCTAAGTTCTATATAACGTATCAGTCTTTTTCAGTATGTTTGGTTCTACCATGCTAAATTGGAATGTGGGTGATATTAATAGTCAACTTGTTGTCACAATACAACTTCATTGGCCCATTCCATTTAACCTTAAGATCATCCAAGATAATCTTTATCCGCAAGAGTTCAAAAATACCTTGGGACATAGTGCTAAACTTTGCCTCTTCACTTGATTCTGCCACCACTTTCTGTTTCTTACTCTTTCATGCCACTAAGTTCCCAAAAAAGAATATAATACTTGGTAGTTAATCTCTTATTAGTGATAGAAATTTCCTAATCCGTATCTATATAGGCTTCAACAATTTGATTATATTCTTCCTAAACATAATACCATCTCTAGGTGAAGTTTTGAGATACTGAATGCATAAACCACACTTGCAAAGTATTCTAATCTGGTTAAGCACAGGAGAAAGAGAGAACAACATGAACGGGTATATAACTGAAAGTGAAATGCGAATTAGAAAAACGGACCTTCTCAAGCTCGTCTTGGATCTCTTGAAGCTTCTCAATGGCAAAAACGAGGTCTCCGTCAATTTGTCCAAATCCAACCTAATTCCTACGAAATAAAACATTATCTAACACTTCAGCAAAACAATTAAATCAAACAAAAAAGGTAGGTGTAAGAGTTATTTACTCTTGCAAACTATAATTTTCTGCAAATCCAAAAAAAACATAGGCTTGACAGAAGTAAAATTTTGGGATAAGAACAGGGAAGCAGATATGAAATTATTATAAGGGTAATAAATATTTTGTGTGACCATTGCCGGTGAGAAGGAGACCGCGTTATTTTATCGAAGGATTTTGGGTGTGGAGAGCTTTGAATGAGCGTTAGGGTGTGGAGAGCTTTGAAGGAGCGAGAGGGTACCCAAGGAAATCGAACGAGGAAAAGGTAGCTTCTGACTCAATCGGGAAAGCTTTCGGCTAAGGGATGGAGAGAGCTCCAAAGACATCGACTGATAGAGTATTAGAAGGCTGTGAAACGAGAGGGACGAGAAGCTAGACAAAAGAATCGGTTGGGACGAAAACAAGGAAGCAGAAGAATCTGAAATTACAAAATGAGTAATAAATATTTTTGGTTACCTAAGAAGATGACCGTTGGCCTCAATAAACATCGTCGGTGAGCAGTCGATGGTGGTGTTTGATCAGACAATTTTGGGTATCAACTTTGAAGGTGAAGCTGGAAAATCACTTACCCTTTTACATACCGTAAGGTGACGCTTGATCGCATGAATCCTTTGAACGAGGGGGAATTGGAATCTATAGTGCGTTCAACTTTCCAATAATGGAATTCAACAAGGAATTGAAATTTGATCATATTACTCTCATTAATTTTTTGATAATTTATTCATATATTAAATAGAAATATTTTTTTATTATTTCGGGTCGGGTCGGGTAAAATTTTATTTTGGTCGGGTCGGGTTAATTTTTTAAAGTGTGATATTCGGGTCGGGTCGAGTTTAGGTTTAGGGTGAAAAATATCCGACCTAAAAATATATATAATTTTACCTTATATATTTAGGAATAATTACAATAATATCTCTCTATATATAATTTTTTTCAATTAAGTCATTGTTTTTATTGAATAAAAATAATTTTTTTTATTATTTCAGGTCAGGTCGGATTTCTAATTCATATATTCGGGTCGGGTCGGTTTTTTTTAAGTGTGATATTCGGATCGGGTTCGGGTTTAAGGTGAAAAATACCCGACTCGACCCAAAAATATATATAATTTTACCTTATATATTTATGAATAATTATAATAATACTCCTCTCTATATTTTTTTTCAATTAAGTCGCTGTTTTTATTGAATAAAAATAATTTTTTATTATTTCGGGTCGGGTCGGTTTCTAATTCATATATTTGGGTCGGGTCGGGTTTTTTTAAGTGTGATATTTGGGTCGGGTTCGGGTTTAAGGTGAAAATACCAAACCCGACCCAAAAAATATATAATTTTACCTTATATATTTATGAATAATTATAATAATATCACTCTCTATATTTTTTTTCCAATTAAGTCATTGTTTTAATTGAATAAAAATAATTTTTTATTATTTCGGGTCGGGTCGGTTTCTAATTCATATATTCGGGTCGGGTCGGGTGAAACTTTATTTTGGTCAGGTCGGGTCTCGGATGGAGGTTCCCTTGTTCTCGGGTCGAGTCTGGTATAGCAAAAACCCGACCCAACTCGACCCATGACCATCCCTAATTATGATGATTTTAACTTATGATGTTTATTAGCATGATTTTTATAATTTATTGAAATGAATAATCAATCAATAAAATTAAATTTTAATTTTTTAAAATTTTTATAATATATTATTACATGTAATTTATAAAACAAACTAAAATTAAGCAAAAAAAAAACAAGAAAGGGCAATCCTGCCATTTTACATTACTGAAATCAAATTCATCTGTCATGTCTACGAACTAAACAGAATATAGAATTGTATTCCAATTCAATTTCCTGCCAACCAAACAGAATATGGAATTGGATTCCAATTCCTGACAGATTTCAGTTCCTTCACAGATTCCAATTCTCTCATAAACATTTCAGCGAACCAAACACCACCTAAGTTATTTTACGGGATAAGGGGGTCATTTTCCTTTGACCGGGAAAATATTTTCCTTTGACCAACCCTTTTACATGAACCAAACAAGGGAAAACAGGGAAAACAGTTTCTGTAAATTGTTCCCCCCAAACAAACGAACCTGAATGTGGAAAATAAGGAAGGATCCAACGTGTTGATAGCTCCTAGCTTGAACCATCATGTGGATACCACAAACACAAAGGAGAAGGAAGACGGTTATGACCCATGGATGGTAGCCGAACTCAGGAAGCGACGTCCTAGAAAAGAAGGAAACTATGGAAACATCAAGAACGGGAAGCACCAAGGGGGTTCAAGATTCCGTATACTACAATGGGAGGATCTGGAAATTACACGAGTTGAACAGCAAACAACAAATAAACAATTAAACAAGGAAGGGAAGAGGAGCAATGAAGGTATAGAAAGATCAAACCAGGCAAAAAATAAAGATGTCGCAATGGAGGAAGGAGAACAGCGAATTACCAAAACCAATGGGAAAAGCAAAAACAAAGAACCTATAAGCAACACCAGGGCAGCAGTAGAAGTCGTGCAAATAAATGAATGACAGAACATGGAAATCACCAGACACAACACAAACATGCTCAATGGGAACTACACTGCCATATCCATAATAGAAGGAGAAAGGACACCAAAGGAAGACTTTAGGAACAAAAATAAGGGGGAGCCGGAGGTCCGATACGATCAAACAAAAGTGCATGTAAGAAAAGAATCAGGACAAGGAAACAGTATGAAATTAAAACGCATGGAAAAGCAAAAACAAAGGACTGTTGTTATGGTTACGAGAGATTAGAGAAGTAGAGAGAAGAGAACGTAGGAGGAAGAAGTAGAGAAAGAGATGAAGAAATCAGAATTCATTCAAAATATGCATAATGATCCCATTACAGGTACCCGTTTTATTTGTTTACAATAGTACTAGGGAACTATCTAAGCCAGCTGGTTGTCCTAGTCATAACAAATTCTGGTGTCATCTATTTCCTTTGGGCTGGAGGATTGCAGGCCTGTTCTTGCTGCATAGGTAATGGACTTCCCTTTTGTATCTATTGTTTTAATAATAACTTGTTTCCCACGTGCACTCTCCTCTGTCTTCTAATCCCTAAATTCCCAATTGATTTACTTGCAATCCCTAACCATTCCTTAGTAATTCCCAAATTCCTTTCTTCGAGTCTAACTTCTTCTTCTCTGCCTTTTCTCTTGTGCATGACATTACCCCCTCCATGAGTAGATCCTTGTCTCCAAGGATCGAAATTAGGAACCCGAGCCCTGAAAACTATACAAATTTCCCAATTATTGTGACCGAAGTTGAAGTTCGTCCATCTCACGATTAGTTGAGTAATTGTGCAAACGCATTTCTTAACGATCCATTTATCCAAAAACATCTCAAGAAACACTTTCCATTGTCCATCATTTATCACCTGAGAAGGTTCAGTAACCGCCACTGCCCTTTCGCCAAATTTCCTCTTTAGCTAGTTCTCCCGAAAGAAGAGATGGATTTGTACATGATCTAGTAAGTCAAGTTTGGAAGTCACTTCTCCAATCTTTTCAGTAATCTTAAGATGCCTATAAAAACATGCTGCTAATTGAAGATTTCTTTTGAATGCCAGGGTTGCCTGCCTATAAGGTTGCATTTGTAGGTATTCTTTTTCCATTTGAAAATGTCCTTGACTGTAACTTGTATCAGCATGTTGTTTCATTATGTTCTGTGTCTGTTGTAGTTGCACTTTAGTAATCTGCCTCCATTGCTCTTTGTATTGTAACATATCTTGAACAATCTGCACTATAAATTCTAAATACCATAACATAGTAGGTGGTTTATCGGACTTCACCTTCACTTCGGACAACCCCTCATCATTGTTTTGTGGAATTTTACTCTCCCCGACGCCTCCTAATCTCTTAACTCTCCATTTCAAGGTAGCTAGTTGTCCAACTCTAAGACCCTTAGAAGGAAGAGGTAGAAACCCAACAGCCATACATAGATCGAGGATTTGCTGCTGCCAGATTATAGCACTTCGAAAGATGAAATTCTGAATAGTACCCTCGCTATCATTTGAATGTGAGTGTGCCCCACTGTTCATATCTCCATAATTTCTACATGTAATGTTTAACAGACTTTTAGGTTGTAGTTTATTTTCATCCTTAGTAGTTCCCCTCCCGAAGCCTACATGGAATGTAAGTCTTGCTCCTGAATTTAGAGATATTTTGACTGGAAGAAAAGCGTAAATTGATATTCCATCACTTTGTCCAATATGAACAAACCCATCTTGAAGATTAAGCCAAGCTTCACTAACATTTAATGTGGCATTCACTTGAGAAAGTATTGTTACATGCAAAGGCAAGGTACTATCATTGCATGGATCAGCAACACGTGTGCTCACATGGACATAATTGGTGAAATGCAAGGCTATATTCGTGTCATAGATTTGGTGAGTTGATATTCCAAATTCAAGTTGGAGCTCTTGTCCACAATTTGTCTGTAATATCTTGTTCCATAGGCCCCTTGAAGATGACCCCATAGCAAGCCTATCATCAATAGCACAAATAGGAATTCTGAGAATTGATGTCACGTCTCTAGTCCAATCTAAAATTTCTATTGCATCATTGAAGAAACTCTGCTGCTCAAAGTCTTGATTATCATTCTTGCTAGCATCGACAGAGTATGTTGTATTAGTGGAACTGTGAGCAGCACTTCCGTATGTTTTCATCTCAAATGAAGGCGATTCTTCAATCTTCAGACCACCTGCATCAGGATCCCCATCCAATAACTCAAGCAAAGCTTTCTGCCATTCAGGATTTGAACTTGTTTGCTTCAAAGCATGTTTAGCAGCAACAAAATTTTCAGCAAGCTTCATGGGTTGATTGATCGAGCTCTCAAAATTTCCAGCAAATGAATAAGTACGAGACATCAAAATTGATTGTGCTTTCTTTGATGGGACTGTCTTTGATGTTACAACTACCGCTAATCCATCCAAAAAGATTTGTCTGCTGTCAACCATCTCGCATGGACTTCCAACAGAAAGGGAAGCTCTTCGTTGATTTGTCTTATGTATAAAGGCAGTAAGTTCAAGTGATAAGGTTGTCCTCGTAATGTCAAAGGGCTCTACTTTGAGAGTTTCTTGCATAATCAGTTGGTTACTGTTTTGCTGGTCATTTTTTGGATTCATTTGCTCATGTTGACTCTTTTACTAGTCAAGTGGTAAAAGCATGTCGATGTTTTTCTGAACCCACACCTTTTCCGAGTCAGCCAACAATTCTTTCCCCTTTTTGGCTTCCACATTTGCATCTTCAAAAGCCAAAGTTGAAGCTGATTCTTTTTCCTGTCCATCAGAGACCTCTAACAAAAACTGCAGAAGTTTTGTCCTCAAAGACGACACGCGTGACAGTGGAAGAAGACTTTGGTATAGATTTCCAATATTCCTCAATTGATATTGGTCCACCCTCCATCCCGTATCATAATAAATGGTGGTTCTCTTTCTCAGTTCATCTGGAATCTGCATTCGATTTTGGAGAAGTCTCTGTTTCAGATTCAGATTCAGCTCCTCCCAAATTTTGGTTTTATCCATGTTGAGGTAAGATTTCAGACTTTGG